TTTGGTCAAAGCCGCAGGAAGCCACTTGAGAGTGACTAAAGAGCTGCATGTGGCTCCAGAGCTGCAGGTTGCCTACCCCTGATTTAGGCACAAAAACCACTTGGTTATGGTTAGGTAAAGGTCAGGTTCTGGCTTAAAATGCCTGATTTTAGGGGCACAATCCCGACAAGAAAAGCAGAGATGTCTCGGTAGAAAACTACTGGTCAACTTTCATGCCACTATCCGTGCTGGTGAAACAGCGGCAAGTTGCTATAAAACACCTACACTTGGTGCCTAAAACGCAGCTGGAAAAACAGCAATAGGCTGCTATGAAACACCCAAAAAATAGTGCCGGAAAAAGCTGCATCTAAAACAGGAATGGGTTCCCAAAAACCATCCATGTCTGGTGGCTAAAAAGCCACTGGAAACAGCAATAACTCACTAAAACACAACCTGTTTTGTTGTTTGTCAGACTTCAACAGAGGTCTGCAGCCTGGCAGGTGTCTTGCCTAGGTGACATACCATCTAGCATCCCCTCAACCTCCTGATGACAAAATCAGCTCATATACTGTGTCACTTTAGAAACATTGATATGATACATTTGATATGTGCAAATGTAATGTAGTTATGGTTTGCACAAACATAAAATGCCAGCATTTTCTTCTGGTGACTGGGCTGCTACACTGTATGATTGCAAATTGAGTATCCTTAGAAATCCCCTTTGGCTGTGACTGGCCTTTACTATTTTGTGACATTTTATAGGCTAACCAATTAAACTGTTATCTTGAAAAAGTACTCTGGTTATGAAAAAACTTTATTGTTTGCAGGAAAAAAAATCTTGAATTTGCATTTAGGTCATCTTAGGACACTGATGCTCTGTTAAAAAAAGAACAGGCTAATTTATACAGGATATTTATGCCAGAGTTATGTGACAGGGTGACCTACAGTATTGTAAAGGGAAGGGAAACTATCAGTTAAAAGTAATAATGGAAAAAAAGATGCAAAAAAATATATATCATTGTTTTACAGCCTGTTTGGGAGCTTGGAGGCACGTTAATGACTGCATGAATTTCAGTCCATGCTGAAAAACAGCATGTGTTCTCAGCAAACCCTCCCTGGATAAACAAAGGATAAAAAAAGAGAATAATAACGATCAGAGCTGCAGATGTTCACCGACATGCCTGACGGAAAACATCCAGAGTAAACCAAGAGCTGTGAAAATGGCAAATAACCTCGACTTCAACTTCGACTCTTGACTTTTTTGTCCGTTCTGTCTCCTCAGAACAGCCGGGGATAATAGACATCCACAACCTTCTCAAATGAATAAATCATGTGGAAACGCACCTTGGCAGACACCTGGCTCAGAAAAGCTCTCCTGAGTGCACCGTTGCCCCGTGTTCAGTTTATCAAGATGACCTTGTTCGCATTTGAAGTTTGAGTTTGTCTTGGCTGTAGCTGTCCGGTGGGAGCTTACAGATAAACTGAATGGACAAAATTAAAGCTTAGAACCATTAGTGGACTCATTCATTTGTCGATCGACAGAAAATTAATTGGCAATTATTTTGAGAATGTATTGAGTATTATTGAGTGATTAAGCAAAAATGCAAACTCTAGTTCCAGGTACTCAGATGTGATGAGTTGCTGTTCTTTTTTTATCTTATGTGACAGTGAGAGTGAATAACTTTGGGTTTGGATTGTTATTTAGACAAAACGAACTATTCTGAATATGTCACATTTGGGTTTAGGGAAGCCTAGTTGTTAAAATAGTGTTTTTCCAGTATTTTGTGACATTTTATAGACCAAACTAATAACTTTCTAAGTTGGAAATAGACAAGTTTTGCTTTAATGTATCATTATAAAGTAACTGTTGATTGTACAATATATTGGCTATGCAATAATGACACCATCGATGTTTAGATTGGTCCCCTATAAGCCTCACTTTCACTATGCAATTCTGTCTGCCACCGGGGGTGATCTCCTGGGAAAATGAAGGCTCAATATACAGCACCAAAAAAAGTGCGTCAAGCATTGTGCAACCAAAACAGGAAGAGGACAGCTCTTTTGTTTTCCCTGGTAGCTTTAAGTAGCAAGTGGCAGCCCTTGAGGCTGAAAAATGAAGCCAATGTGGAGAAAATGCAGTTCATCAAATGGCCACTTGAGGCTGGCTCCAAAACAAACTAAATCCCCATACACCCCCATGTAAAAATGCCCAACTTGAACATGTTTACAGCCTTGTACAAATATAGTTCTGGTCTCTGTAGCTAATTTTAACATGCATGACAAATGTACAGGGGGTGGATTTTTATACAACTCAGCTGTTTACAGTTTATAATGGCTCAAAGTTACGCATAATTAAGGGCAGGGCCACTTGAGTGACAGATTGTCTGCATGGTGGCGCTACAGTCTACAAGTCAGATCCACTCCTCGTTCCTCCACAGTTCCACCCTCTCATCCAAGTATGGTCACTTTTGGCTCCAAAAAAAAAAAAAAAAACCCAAAAAAAACAAGATTGCCACAGCAGAAAAACTGAACTCGAAGCCTCAAAATGGCAGCCCAGAAAGCAATGGGTGCCATCACAGTAGCTACGTCCATTATTTTTAAACACTTCATGATCAATAGGGATCAGTATCTAAAGAGTATCATTCTAAGTTCTTTGCAGCTACTATCCTCAGTAGTGGAAATGGCGGACAGTGGAACAATCACAGTAATTTTGGAAAAACAAAAGTGTGTCTGGTTTTACTGGTACTTGCTAGACTCTGAGCAAAATGGAAAGTGATCTAGTTGCCTTTACAACAGCGCCACAAACAATAATATAACTCAACGCTAGGGGGGAAAAGTTGAAAAGTCAATGCTCTCTCATACCTAAATGACAGAATGGGTAGATTTCCACTGACTTTCAAAATGAACTATATGATCGGCCCTAAAACAAAATATATGACTGATCTAGCGGTCGCAGTTTTTAAATACGTAATTAACGTCATGAAATGGAGTTCTGCTCCAAAACTACCTGGTGAGGTTTTGGAAAAACATCATGGTTTGGCATTAAATTAGTGCTTTTGTCACTAACTTAAATAAATGTATGTCATGTGACATATGTCACATCTGACGTGACACATTTGTCACTAGAGTGGCATCCTACAAATGCTAGCACACTAGGCTACATTACATTATTACAGGAATTCAACGTTGACTTCAGGATGCGAACTCCAGTCTCCTGAATGGAAGTCCTGTGAGTGTCTGACCAATCCATGATCCCTCCCGCCCACACTGTAGGGACTATTCGTACAACATTACTCAGACTTCTATCGCTTTTTATAACACACCACGTCACCTCCTCCTCTGCTCCTGTAAAGATTTATTAGGGTCACTAGAGGGCACCACCTAAGGTATGGGTCGTAACAAGCTACTTGCAGGGCCGACATGTGGTAGTTTCTCGGTGAGAGCAGGCTGTGAAAAGTTGTCTCTTTCATCAGTCTAGACAAAATACTGTTAACACCTCTGTGGCAGCGGGGTGTGGTTGAGTTGCCGGCTGCTGGAGGAGGGAGGGGGAGTGTCTCAGCCGGCGATCAGACAGCTGGACAGAATCAGGTAATCACAGTCAAACCATAAAAGCATGCTGGTAACCTGGTTCTGGTTCTCTCTTGCAGTAGGCTGGGTCCGGGAAGAGAGTGAACGGTAGGGCCGCGAGAGCAAGAGAGAGAGAGAGAGAGAGAGAGAGAGAGAGAGAGAGAAGGCCAGAGAGAGAGAGAGAGCCAGAGAGTCTGAGCTGGAGCCGGCTCATGTGTATATGTGTGCGTTGTGTATGAGCAAAAATAAATATTGTACAGCGTTAAGCCGGCTGCCTTCCCTCTGTACCCGTGCGTCTGAGTGTGTGACCTCACAACCTCCTTTTCTAATAAAGTACTGTTTACCAGTTGCGCAATTCAGGTAAATAACAGCCTCCTTCATTTATTTCACTTAAAACATCTTCACCATTCATCATTGTGGAGCTGTAGATAAAGAGAAGATGAGGAGGAAATTATTCTGTTTTTGTGCAAAAGAGGCCGAAACTCAGTCAAAATATTTCACAAAAACACAAATCTGATGTCGCACTTAGAATTAATTTCATCTGTATTATCAAAAAGCCATACAACATTAATTGAAAGCTGAAAACTTCAAAATTCATGTAGTATATCGTGTCATTAATCATCTTTTTCCTCTTCCAAATAACAACTTTCCATCACAAGCTTCTAAAGCCTGACACGCTGAGGACGTTTTCCTTCAAAATTTCTCCGTGTAACTCTGGTGCTGCTGTGCCTGAAGAATGCCAGTGCTGCTACAACTATGTACATGATACAGAGGAGAGGAGGTATAATTAAGCATATCTCCCACTGACTCATTATGGTCTGTACAGCCGCCATATGGCTGTCTGCTGGTTGCCATGGTGAGAGGGGGATGTTTTTTCATCACCCCGGCAGAGAAACAGCAACAGTGCTGAGTGTTTTAATTGTAAGTGACACTGAGAATGTAAAATAAACATCAATTTATAGCAATGATGGATGAAGATAGATAGACTGAAATATGAAGAGATAGAAAGAGGTTGAGACAGATTGATATAGATTGCCAGTCTCTCTCAGTGTGTGTCTGTGATACAATATAAAATATTGTATCTATCTAATGCTTCAGATTTCTGCAAAACAAGGCACATTTTCATGTAGCCGTTAACATACGTAACACAGTAATGTCATTACAAAATTCTGAGCTGCATCATCCTCCACATTTCTTGTCTGACATAACATACATTTTTTGCCTAACTGAACTCATTTACACTTTTAAATGACCACTAACTGTGTTGTGCCCTATCCCAACTTTCTGTTTCAATCAGGGAGAGCTTTAAATTGTATAAGTAGATGGAAAAGTAAATAGTTTTTGATGCCGTAACATTTACACAAACAGGCTGGGAGGAAAAAGACAAAAATTGATTTCATACATAAATGAAACTGCACAGTGTTTGCAGATTAGCACAGCCAAACACAGACAGACAGAGCAGATTAATCCACATATGCATGCTTGAAATCACTCTCACACGCTCAACAGCTCACCTGTCTTGGTCGGCACTGCGGAAGCGGGGGAGAATCATGTGGCGGAAACTGCTGGTTCGGTCCAGTTTGGGCTGACTCTTAGCCCTCTTGATGGAGCCCTTCAACCTTCTACTGAGGAAACTCTGGAGCGGGTGGAGGAGGAGAGCAACAACGAGGGCAGACAGATGGAGGTGGAAAGGGAGGATGTGCATGGCGTGAAGTTACAGAGAAGAAGTGAGTGATGTGGTGAAGAGAGAGTCAGGTATGGTACAAGGAAACAGATTGATATGTATGGTAGTAAAATAAAGACAGACGATTCCCAGTGTGGTTTGTGTCAGATGTTTTAAAGTAACACCAAAATCAGATGGAGACGCACACCAATGAAACACAGGATGCATGATGGGGGAGAGCACAAGGTAAATTTATTATCAACAAAGAAATCATACACCCACTCATGTCCACCAGTCACAGAGAACTGCAGTGTTGTAACAGATCCTGTGGTGGGCAGCGGTGAGCCATACAGTCCAACAACAGGCTCAGCAGCACAAGTCTCACACAGCGGTGCAGTTTGTCCCACATGAGCTTCCTTACATGATCAATCTGAGACACTGGAGCCTTAAATTGTTCATCCATAAGGGAGAACATGACATGGGGTCCGTCCCAATACCCACAGGAGCAGAATTTGAAGTCAAGTGCCTACTACAAGTCATGCACATGACTAGAAAAGTCTTTTTTTTTTAAGGAACTAGTATTTTTTAAGTTTCTTTTTTTTTTTTACTACACTTACAATATTTACCTGTGGTATATTTTTTGCCCATCTATTTTTTACTTCACTACATCTGTGATTTATACCTTTGTTACAACTAGTCTGCTCTAAATGTGAGGATTGAGCTTGGGGGGGTGGCGCACGAGGAGCACCTCTACTGTAGATGCCAATTTGTCAGCTGCCTGTCTTTTGAGCGTGGTGTGATAATGACGAAGCAAAACCCAGAACAAGAGGCAGCTTTCAGTGACAATCCCTGACCACATCTGGCCACACTTATTCAACCAAAATCTAAAAAGGACAGCAGCTACTGTACATGATGAAACGCTTGCTGTGCCTTCCGAAAAACACTGACACATTCGCTTTTAAAAACTCCTCTTCAGGCACATTGACATAAGCTGCACATACTGTAGGCAAAACTGTAGTTCGCTAGTTAATGTTAATTTTTTCATGTGTAATGTTAATGTTTGATGTTATAAGGATGAAAGGAGCAGAAAGGAACACATGGAGACAGGGTGGGATCACTGGCCAAATGTAGCTATAAGCCCTTTTTAAATAGGAACTGTGCAAATTTGCAGGAAAGTCTTTTTTCAGCATTGGCAGTATAAAAACAAAATTGGGGAGTGCAGCAAAATGCCACCTACCTACTTTTGTTTATACAGAATGTGCCTTTTTCGGGGCAATGGGGGGAGTGAGCAAGTAACAAAACGTGTAGCTCAGCATGTGACGTAAACAGTGATGTACTCCGAGGGAAGCCGCGGCTGGTCAGTCCTTCAGCGATTCACTCGTAAGTCGGCCCATTCTTCACCGTCCCCGTCATTTGCGAGGGCAAGGAGGGCGCGCAATTCCTTGTCTCCCCAGTTGCTCATCTTTCCCCAGTTTCCCCCTTTGCTACTAGCTGCTTGCTAATTCCTTCTATCAGCTGTTTCCTGTTTATCCACCGCCAGTGGCTCGCACGTGTGGCGTCATCAACAGCTCCTCCCACAAGTCTTCAACAGCCCCTCCCGTTGCAGAAGGCCGCCTCGGTTCCACCAATATGACTACCCTACGAGGCGGAAAATCGGGCACCTCGGATCAACTCGCCAATCTGGCTCTGTGTGTCTAGACGCTCGCAGCTTGCCGGCAAAACGGCCCAACATTCGCGGAAAATCTGGCAATGTAAAAGGGGCTACAGGCTATCCTTATTTGTTTACTGAAGCCTACTTGCTCTACTTTCTTTAAAATAAATAAAGTTGTATCAATAAGTGCTGTTTTGCCATTATTTTGCACAGGCCTACTCACCCTTAAAAATATTAAAATGGAAAGTAACTTGTACTTTGCATTATTTATTACTCATATACGTTTTTACTTTTACTTGAGTAGGTTTCTCAAGTTGTAATTTTCACTTTTATTTGAGTCACTTTTTATGGCAGTAAATGTACCCTCAATGGTGCATGGTGCTGTTTTCTTTTAGTTCAAGAATGTCGTCTCCGGCTGGTAATATTACATCTAACCCCTCTTACATTTTATTTGAACGATATCAGCTTGGCGTGACTCAGATTTAGAGTCCCACAGGCTCGATTGAAAAGGTTGAGAAACACTTTTGTTCCTCAGTCTGTCAACCTATTAAATCATATTCTAAGCAGCCTCAGCGTGCCTGGGTCGATCACTGAATGTAATAGGGAATGATTTATTTGCTGCACTGCATCCACTTTTCATAATGTCTGGTATGTAATGTTTGTAGCATAGTTTTCTTGTTTGGTTAAATGTTGTTTCGTATTTTTGTATTTATGTGGAACAGTTTACGTTCTAGGATGCAAGACACATGTAAAACAATGTCTGACTACAAAGTGAAATCAAATCAAATATTTGCATTAAACAATGTGCTCAGTGAAAGATGGTATTATGTCAAATGTATTTATCATTTATATCATTTTCTTTGGGGTTTAAATTCAATACAAGGACAAAAAATCTGAACCAAACAAAAAAAGGCTGCAGGCATTTTACTGGTACATGTGAGCCAGACACAACCTGCAGCTCTGACTCTACTGCCGGTCTGTCTCTTTAGTCGTGTTCAGTCTGATTTCAGCTCTGTCGGTCGACTCAGTTCAGTTGTCTTAGACTTCTGAGGGCTGAGATGTATCAGCATTTCTTTGAACTCTGTTTACCGTGTCAAATCTTTCCATGTCTTGCTCTGATGGTCACTATTTTTGTGACTGCTGAGCTCCTGAAAAACTCCCGAGCCAGACAGCATTTTGTTTTATGGTGACAAGCGGGAACCGTGAGCTGTCATGTCACAGCTGTGGCATGACCGCATATTAAACAGCTTTCATTTCAATACTTAATTTTTATTGTTGTTGTCTTGATTTGATATGTTTCAAAAACTCAAGAGAAAACTTGGTCAACATAAATGTCATTGATTTTTAATATGTGGTGAAAGACTTTAGGAGCCGCTGATCCGGAAGGCTCTCGGTCTGCTGTGCAGAAGAGACATAAGATTTTATTTTGATGCTTTATGTATACATTTATGATTAAAGGATATTTCATGTTTATCATGGGAGTGTCAAATATGCAATGTTATTCCTATCAGTCCCACCAAGAGGAACAGATTGTCAAAGGATCAGTGTGTAAAATATAAGGCGATCTTGCAGATTGCAACCAGCTCCCGGTTAGAATTTCTTCAGTGTTCATTGTTCAGGAGATTTTAACTGGGAGCTGATTTATCCACAGAGGTCTCTTCCTCTCCAAAACAAATGGACCCACTATTTTAACCGCTAAAAACACTGCCCTTTCTAGAGCCAGTGTTTGGTTTGTCCTTTCAGGGTAGAACCATAGACGAGGACCTGCTCCCTATGTAGATATAAACCGCTCATTTGGAGGTAACGAAAACAAAATGATTTATATTTTCAGGTGATTACACACTAAAGAAGACACACTTATTATATTATATTCCATTTCTGCCAATAAATCCCCCTAAATCCTGCACTGGACCTTTAATATCAAGTAATAACCATCTGTGGATCGGCCATAACTCTGTATAGTTTATATATGAATATTGTTCATGCTGAATTAGTTGTCAGTCCGAAATCCAGCCTGTAGGTGCACTCTCGATACACGTGGACTGGTGTGGAGCTAGTAAACCTTGGTTAATTGTGGGATACATTTAGCTCTGAATTCCTATTCAAAGGTGTCTTGGGAAAAAGTGCAAATTACCTGTAGATTGATCCCCTTTTTCCACCGAACTTAATGTGAATATGTGGGTTTTTAAATGTGGGAAAACCCCTTAAAAAAAGATGACAAACTCCTTTCCAGTTTCCAGTAAACCAGAGCCCTGTTACAGCCCCCCCCGGTGTGTCATGTCTGACATTACTGACAGGCTGGAAAACAGGTTAGTAAACAGTAGAAAGCAGCATGGAGGCCAGTGAAAATATTATCTTTTTATATCTTTTACTTATTCAGTCTCTCTTTCTAACTCAGTGCCTCAATTTTGAACAATGAATGAGCTCTGTTGAGATGCGGACAGACGATGTTTTGTGGCGTTACGTCCTTGCATCGTGCCAGGAAAGGAGCTAAAATTAGCGCGACCACCCATGTGTCATATTTCCATCACTGCCAATTGGAGCTGGAGCCCATAAATACTTGTGACTGCTGCAGAATCATTTGGAACGAATGTCGAATGTAACTTGTCTCACTGAATACAAAAGCCAGATGTTAGTGGGTTTTTTTCCAGTGGTAAAGGGCTTGAGTGTAACGTGTGTTGCCATTTTTTAGATGTAGGAAACACTTGACTTCTGGCAGTGTGTGAACATGCACTCAAGTCGTCAGGACAGAAGGTGAAGGTATTGGGACTGACCCTTGCTTTGCAGGACCATCCTGCCTACAAAAAAACTGACTGTACAGGCTTGAATCACAACTTTAAAAGTAACAAGTTTTTACAACAGTGTCCTGCACACTGATCCATTTAAATGGGGACCAAGTGAAACCAGAAATCTGTGTTAAATCTACCAAAAAATTTCAAAAAATTCAAATTCTTTAACAGCAAGCGACCAAAATGCAAAAATGTAGCAGTAAGTCACTTGTTCCAATTGTTTTCCAAGATATAGTCTTTAAAAATATCTCAGAAAAAGTGAAACCACATTAAAATGATGTGACATTTCCGACCCAAATGACACTTTCTCAGCCCACTAATAGCATTTTAAAACTGAACCAATGACACTGTTACGTTTGCAGACCGGTTCAAAGCTGTTTCCACACTCTAAACCTTAAACTGATAGCTGTGAAGGTAACTTTAGAGCTCAAAGCATGCATGAAATATCACTTTGTGCTTTCTCTTTCCTATGCACCACTCGCTGTGCCTTAAAGAAGCTTTCAGGTGCATCCCGGAGACTCACAGTAACATCATTTATATACCTATAGCATAACAGCATTATTGAGTGGGAGAATGACTGGAGGGAAATGACACCTCGTCATCTGGCATGAGTCAAATGGCTTTGAAGCCTGTCTCGAGGATATGACTAAAGACTTGGCTCCATCTGCTGGTTCCAAGCTAATAGCCTGCGTGACTAAATCTGATTTGATTAGCCGCTCCGTCTGACACTTTAAGTCTCCAAAAGTTAAAGTATTCAATACAGAGAGAGAGAAAGAGAAGCTTGAATCACAATGAAAGGAGGTAATAGTGATAAAGGGCAAACTTCATCTTCAGTGGCTGCGTTTGCATCACAAAGTCACTCTGGTGCATTTCCAGATTAAAGGAGAATATTGGTGTCATTTAGTATTTCGGCCCATTTGCTATTGGCCACATTTTGCAGTTTAATTTTTACACTAATTGTCAAACATGGAATAAAATGAACTGCTGTCTGTGGTGGGAAGTAACAAAATACATGTACTCAGGTTCCTATACTTATATCCTACTACAGTTCAGAGGGACATAATGTAGTTTTCACTTCACTGCATTTATTCAACACAATAATCTGTAGATTAACTGATAATGAAGATAATCATTAGTTGCAGCCCTGTAAAAGTGTGACACTAACAAGGGCAATTTTCCTGCATTATGAGAACTGTAACTTTGATAATTTAGATACAATTAGCCCATAATATACTACTTACATTCTTTTACTTACTTTCCCTTGAAATGCAGTGTAGGAATGAGACCTAAAACCCGAAAATGAGTTCGCATTTTAGCACTTTTGGTTGCCTCATCTTTAAGTCAGTGGGTTTTTAGTTAGATGCCTGAAATAAGGTCTGTGGTTAACACAAGTTAAGAGATTTTCATGTTTTGTTCCACAACACATTATACCAAAGTAAATATTCCACTTGTGAGTTTTGAAGCTTTTATGTGTCTCCAAAAAGGTGGTTGCTAACAAGTGGCTAAATGAGACTACAGCACGTCATAACGCCGTACACGGCTTTCCCACCGTGCTGTGGGGGGCGACGTTAAGTCATGCAACTGTGTTGTAGTTCATTTGTTGACTAACGTTAGCTTTTTATTGCTGGTGACTGCATTTATGCTTCAAAAATCATAAAAGTAGTGGTCGTTTGTGAAGATTATTGGAACAAAATATGTAAGTATTATAAACTTTTGTTTGCCACAGAGCTTTTTCTGCAATAATCCAAAATCCAATAGAAAAATCCCATTGGCTTTTTGACAAGGAAACCACAGGAAATGCTAATGTCTGGATTGGCCTACAAATAATCATCATCCCTGCAGCACTGTTTTCATATTGTAGCGCTGCTACGTTTTACTCTAGTAAAGGATCTGAATATTTCCTCCAATCAACAACTAGCTTGTTATGATTGATGAGTCTTTTATCTTGTTAATAAAGTCTAATATGTGTTCATATTCATAGTTAAGACAGCTCTTCTGCGTGGGTTTGGTGCTGATTTACTGGGCTGTCTCTGTTGCCTGGGAAGAGGCACTGCCTTAAAGACTAAAGTTAGGGATCCAAAGTTTCTCGAGGCACGTTAACACAAGAATGTCAAATCAATTGGCAAAATGTGCACTGATAAGTATTTGTGGCTGTTTTTAGGGAGGAATACGGTAAATCCAGCAGCCCAGAGGTGAGTCTAAGCAGGTGCCACTACACCTTTGTCTCAGAAAAAATATTTCTTAGAAGTCATTTCTTGGCCAAGACTACATCCTCCTGTCAGTGTCAGGCAATTTACAGTACAGTAAGCAAAATGTAGGATAATCACAAAGGCCGCCTGTGACTGTTGAAAAGTTTTGTCTGCATCTTGAGTTTAGACTGCAACACTCCTCCTGCTCTTCAGGCGTGCTCATCCAATCAGAGAACCTGAAATATTCATATGAAAACACTCAACTCAGCCACTATGAAGGAAAAAAAAAAAAAAAAACTTTGGCCAAGCCAAAGTGGGGCTTCACATTTACTCTAATGGATTATCTGGCTCCTGTAATTTTCAAGTCTGTTGAAGCTGTTTTCATGCTACAACAGTGAAATGGGCAAATAGTTTCCTGTGAAGGGAAAAAAACAAGTCCTGCTATTTCCAGCTACAGTGACAGTGTGCAAACACCAGGAGGAATAATGGAGAGGAGATGGGCAACACAGACCACTGGCACAAACTTAATAAGACACCAATCTATCCTTTAAGCCCTTTTATGTGCACGTTTGATAGCTTGTGATTGAGTTTCTGTTGCCATGAATAAAACAATAAACAGATTATTTCTGTCCACAGACAAAAATGTGTTTTGCTGCCAGCTCTTCTCTCCCTCTTTGACTCAAGTGGTCTCTCGTATTGAAAAAAAAAAAGACGTGATGATCCCCATATTGCTCCTCTTCTGTCGACATTAAAGAATCATACCAGGTGTTTTACATGTTTTAACCCATTTACTACAAGTCCCATTTATTTCAGATCACAGTTAACCATTTATAACTTTTCTTGCCATTCCAGACATCCACTGGTTTTCATTCTTTTTTGACAAGATGAAACTACATCAGCAGACTTAATTATGCTGTGTTTTTCATCACAGTGAACAGGCCTTACCTTAAATGACACTAATAATAATGATAATAGTGATAATAATAATTATAATAATTATTCTTTTCAAAACTGTTACAAGGTGCTTTACAATAACAGCATAGCACGACGCAAAAACACAAAAAGATTAAACCTAAATAAAACACAATAAAATAATAAATGATTCCCTGAAAAGCTATTTTTCAAACTAGGTATTTACCATAATAATAGGCTATAGTGGGCGACATTGTTACTCATTTTGGCCTTTTTTTATATGATAATTTATTTACTTCAGTGTTGCCTTTTGTTTATTTTTTTCCACCTGTTTGTTTCTGCCTACACTTCACTGAATTTGAGAGCTTTCTGTGTCGAGGAGGCTCCTCTACTGAGCATATTCATGAAGTTCTATAATTTAATGTCGTTATTGGTGACGGTTTAATTCTGCAAACACACAAATTAACAAAATACTGTGCAGAATTTTTAAATGATAGGCACTGCACTGCCACACAGTGATTAACTCTGACAAACATTAATGCAGCTTACACAACCTGCCAATTGGTTTTCGTACCATTGGGAAAAGAATGGAGACCACTGGCAAAATGGACAAATATTATCCACAGCATGCATTTGAAAATTGTTTGTATTTAAAGGGCTAAAACTTGCAAACACACTGGTATGGTCCTTTCAGGTGCACTGTTCCAATAATTCTGTGAATATGAACACAGACTTTTGAAATCACAAGTGAGAGGAGTGAGGTGTTTCCATGTTTTGATGCTACAGGCTTCCTACTGTATATGCCAGTGTCTCTGCTTCAGCCATGTTTGTGTCACATACCTCAACAGGGGGCAGTGGTGCGATATACGTTCCTCCTGCCACTGGACTCGAACCGGCAGCCCTCCAGTCTCCGCCCCAGTACGAGAAGGGGGAGGAGGAGGAGAAGGCGGCAGGCGAGTGGGGCAGGGTGAAGGATATGGAGGGGGAGAGGGGCAGCGAGCGGGGCAAGGGGGGCGTGCCGGGCCCTTTCTTGGAGCCCTTTTGCTGCTGCGGCTGCTGCTGCTGGCACAAGGTGAAGGAGGGGGAAACAGCCAGGGAGAGAGGGTAAGGGTGAGGCGGGGTGCCGCTGGCCCGGCGGCCACAGGTGTGTGGCGGGCCCAGGGCGGGAGGCGGGAGGAGGGACAGCGAGAGGGACGGAGGCAGCGAGCGGGGCCGGGGACAGGGGGGGTTACTCACGGATTGTCGGAAGGGTTGAATTGGGGCAGTGGGAGGGACCTCCATGCTGGGCTGCTTCCCAGTGGCTATGCTCTTCCTCCGGGCGCGATGATCTGAGAGACAGAGAAAGAGAGAGCGTCGACAGGTGAGACTCTAATAAACATCACGGGAAGAGAAACATCCACCGATAAAATGAGGACAGAACAAAAAATTACCACAGGTACTGACACAGGTAGAGCGAGAGGATGTGGAGAGAGAAAGATGAGGCCATTGTGGAAATAAACAGCTACGGGAGAGCTGTTATTGACAGTCTGCCTGAAGGAATGAAAGAGGGCAGGGAAGAATATGAGAGCCAGATAGAGGTCAAAGGTGTGCGAGGCAGAAATAAAACCATGGCGGGTCACACTCATCCACCGGCACTACTGCTGCCTCTACAGCTATACACACATAATAACGCAAATTCGTGGAGGGGAGGAGGTTGACGAAGTGGGCGAGAGACTATTGGAGAGATAGATTTTCTGTCTGGACGTCAGATGAGGCGAATGTTAACAGTCTGCATGTTGAAGGGAGCGGAGAGGGGAGGGACCAGGAGATGCACGGATGGTGAGGAGCGAGCATTAAACAAACAAAGCACTTATTGACTTCCGTCAGCGAGCCGATGCCTAATGCACTGGTCAGTAAGGGAATAAACTCCTGACCTACGCTTGATGGATGACGAAGAGAGTATAAATGTACAGTCAGAGAACACAGAAGACAAAACACTGGAGACCTGGTTGACCTGGCTGGCCTGTTTAACCACTGCACCACCAACACATTACATCAGACGTCAATGTTGTCAATGTTGAATGCACACTGCAGATATTGCCTGTTTTTGACAGTGTTTTCCATTCCCATGCCCTGTTGTCCTTTGACCAAATGTTGAAAAACTCAACAAAATATGAGGACTGCAGGTCTGCCTCTGCATCACTGTTCTCAGGAGAAATTCATGTACATGCACTGTATGATGAACATGACTTTTGAGACAGCCAGTAAAAAGAAAGAAGCCCACATGAGGCCCTCATGTGTCACAGAAAAAAAAATACAAATCTCACTGGGTGTCTATAAATCCATAAATGCTTTGGCTACAAACATATCTCAGACTTGCCTGTCAAATATGAAATTGTACCGCACTTGTGAAGCAACTAAGCAGAGGACCTAAGGTGGCAGACTAAAAACCCACTCTGTTCTGCCTCTCCATCTCAGAGCTCTAACTACAGACTGTACTTTTGCATTTTTTGTAAACCCACCACCACGCACACAAAGAGTGTAGAAGCGTATCAAGAGAGACAAAACTCAGACCAATTGCTATAACTAGGTATTGCTGATCCAATAACCAAAATTCTGTTACTGTAATGCCTATTTCTCATCTAAAATATCTACAGAAATATATTTTAGTGCACTGTTTGGCTGTGATGCGAGAATTTGTGAATAGGAAGTGGGCACCATACTGTTTCCCGCATTGTAAAACAGAGGCTGAAAAAACTGAGATCAAACAGTAAAACTAGGCAGTGTTGATCAAATATGAACAAAGATTCTGTTACTGCCTATTTCTCACCTAGCATATTTAAGAAACGTATTTTAGTTTACTGTGTAACTGTGATTTGAGATCACTTGTCACTAGCTGGTGGCCATATTGTTTCCTGTGTCAAAACGGACAAGCTTGTACTATGTCACCCACCAGTGGGAGCGTTGATAATCCGGTGCGGCACAATGCATTCTGGTAGTTGTAGGTATTCTGCCTCATGAGCAAAAGCAAACACCACAGCTCTTTTCCTCGGTTTTCTCTGATCAAGTAGCAGCAGTTTCTTTATAATGCATAGACAGCCGAGACAATCTTTCCAGCAGTAAAATAATTCTTTATGTTTTATGGTTTTTGATATATCTAGCATCCATTTTCCTCCCAAGATTTTCAAATAACTCCTTTTACATTAAGGATTTTGAAACTGTTTTCCTGAACTAAATGTTTCCAATTTTTTTCTTATGTGTAAACACCATAATCAGTCTTTTAGTCTTTAGGTTTGACATCTTTTTAAAACAGTCTATGTGTGTGGAGAACTTTGAAACTGCTTTATTGTTGTGGCAGTTGTGCTATATAAATGTTTGCTTTAAAAACACAAAGACGATTTTAAAAAATTGGTCACACACACAAAAAAAGAAGCAAAGTTATCATTATTTCTGCACTGATGCCCCTGAGACAAATCCTTAAGTATATATATGATTACACTGATGGGCCTATTTTGGCTTATTTAAAGATAATTTTTTTTATCATTTTGCCTTCATTTGATAGTGACAATACAGATACAGACAGGAGACGGAAAGGGAAGAGATAGAGGGGAATATGAGACGCAACAAAGGTGCCTGAGCAGAACTGAACCAGGGGCGTTGCTGTTACGTGGTGTGCATCGTAACCACTGTGCTACAAGATGTCCATATTGTCTCTTTTTTAATCAAATATCAAACATCTAGAAGTCAGTATCGTCCACCACAACACGGTGGTGATGGACGAGCTACATGGAAACACAAACCTGCAATTAAAATAGAAAAACCTGCAATCAAATCTTCGTCATCTTCATTTTTCCACAAACATCTTTTTGACATTATTTTCTACCTTAATTGCAGGATGACACTGAATGGGAGCAGGGAGGGGATGTTGATGGTCTCAACATCGGCCACGCTTTGGAAAGCAGAGCTAGATGGTAAACAAACATGGCACCACACCGGTTAGGTAAGACAACACGTTTACATTTCGTTTTCTATATGTTCTCTGACGTTTATCCTAACGACATGAGGCGGTCTTTGTGGGAAAAAAAGCTTGTTTAGTGGACTAACTTTGCACTTGAAAGGATGCCCGTTCAGTTACGTTTTAACAGGTCTGATGCTACTATGCGCCCCGGCTGTATCTAGGCTAACGGCTAACATGCTAACTATCATTTTTATGTCACTAGTCACTTGAAACAAATTTAGGACGATAGCAGACAGGTTGAAATAAACCGAAATTTCCCTTTAAACGTGAATATTTTCTGGTTTCTTTCCTCCTCTATGACAGTACACTGAATATCTTTGGGTTGAGGATGGGATCTTGGGATTTGGGAAACACTGATCACCATTTTTCACCATTTTATGACATTTCATTGACCAAACAATGAACTGATTAGTTGAGAAAATAATAACAGATTAACCCACAATGAAAATAACCATTGGATGCAGCACTATAGTCATTGAGACATTTCACTAAGAGACACAAATATGAACCTCGTGGTGGCACTGGAGCAAAATTCACTCTTACAGATTTCACTGGATAAAAGAAAATTTCGATCTGCTGGTGGGGCTAAATGAACAGCAGGAGAAACACTAAAGCTATCCTCTGAGGATCATGAATGTCTGCACAAAATTGCATAGCAAACCACCCAATAGTTATTGAGATATTTCAGCCTGACATTGTCATGTGTGGAGCTATGCAGGAAAGGAGTACAAATAAGATTATACCAGAATATGTAAAGTTATGAAAAGTCAACAGCATGTTGCACATTTCCACCAGATGAAGCATTGTGTATAAGATCACAATTATTTATTGGTAATTGTTGTGTTTTTTATACATGTATGTGCATTTTTAATGTTAAAAAATTAATATATTCAGTCTGATAATGCCAGGGGAGCCATAATTTATGCCAATAATTCTTAACGTCTCCATACTACAGCAGGATGATATCAAAGCCTACATGGTTCTTTCCTTCATGTCTTCCTTTTCTTGTAATCTCCCTTTTTCTTCTGCTGCATGGTCCTATCAAAAAAATCTAAGACATACTAGTTTTAAATATAAGTTGGTTACATTTGCCTATTCTTAATTCTTGTCATTTCTCCAGCATTGCAGCCGATCTCACCCTGACTCTTCATGTCTATCTCTGATCTTTCCATTGCTCTCTCCCTCTCTCAGCTTCTTCTGTCACACAGTCACACTAATACTCAGACACACACCTCTTCTCTCCCACGCAGCTATTTTACATAATTCAAATAGTGCATTTATCCCTACCTCTCTCCAGCCCCTGATCTCTCTCTCCTTTTCTCTCTCTCATTTTCGTTCTCCTCCTTGCACCCTCTCCTTTCTTTCGCACCGTCCTCTCGTTCCCTCCCCATTCAGACATGTGTGGCATCTAGAACCCTCCATTTTCTCCACATTACCTTCGTCTGTATTTCTCTTTTATCCTCCTCGCCCCTCTGCTTTCGTTCTCTTTCATTTACCTGTCCAAATAGCGATCTTTTCACCGCCTGCCTGCCCGTCTGTCTGTCTGCAATCCTAACATTTTCTCCGACCCACGCAAGGTGGGGAAAAGATGACCACGAAGGTGTTTGTCACCCATCAGAGACATCAAACTATGCCAGTGTCTCTTTGCCCAAATTCACAGCTTCAAAACTACCAAAGCAAGTCTGTAGGCTGGATGACTGACTGGTGGAGGAGTCTTCTAAATTACTCTGAGAGAGCAGCTATGGTACATGAAAAGGTTACTGACAAATCACAGGAGGGGGAGAAAACTCAACATCTAGCTCCATTAAAAGGTGTCAAGAATGTCATGAAAAGTAAGTTCATTTTAATCCCCTCGAAACTGTGCTTTTCTGGATAGGGTTAGGTAAAGGCAAACTTTTCTTTTGAAAAAATGTAAATCGACACTGAGAGGGAAGATTGGTATATTTTCAACAATTCAAGGGTACTGACTGGCTAAATTGTCCCAGGAATTGATCTTCTTTAGTTAAGAGATATTGAATGAGTCTTGGGGGCATGACCTTTGGAAGCTTTCTTCAAATCATTTATCTTGTGTGTGCCATCACTCACTTGCAGCAGTACTCAAGGTTTCTTAGGTGTTTGTTACTCCACAAGAAGTGTTAATTAACAGCAATTATCATGGGTGCTGCCCCGTACGGCTGGAGGTTAAGCCATCATTATGTATGCATCATAACTGCAGCCATCTCAATTAAGAGGCCTCAGAACAGTGATATCAAGATCCGCTTCAGAATATATTGTTTCCCAAACTAATTAGTTTCTCCTGGAGGAACAGATTGTGCCAAGCAGAGAATGGTG